TATCCCTAAAGGCACAGCTTGCCGACGCTGAGGAACGTCTTGCCACACAAGTTGAATTTATTTCCTCTGCGGAGGATCTAATCACGAGCGCCAGGGAGGAGCGTGACGCAGCGCGCAGTGCCGGCCGAGCTAGCCAATCTGAGCTGAACGGTCTGAAGACGAGCTATGCTAACTTACAGAAAGCGCTGGAGAATTTGGAGAAAGGTGGGGAGCCCTCTGTGGGTTTTCTTGTGTTTCTAGTTTCTGATGCCTCCAGCTTGTCTCTTTGGCGCATAACCAGGCGCATGAAACGCCGGCCGAGATCTTCAGCCTAGTGTTCATTTAAAAGAATATTTACCTAGACCTTTACCAGTCCTTAGGTTGTAGTTGACCTAGGCGTTATTTGGATTTTTTTCGTGCGGGAGCCCCGTGTGGCATTTATCTCAATCTCTTCCCACCCTTATGATGTAGAAGTGAACAAAATGAGTCAGGCCAACCGGAGGCAAGATAAGGTACAGTATTTAAGTCTTGAATTCGTATCTTCTCCTCGACTCCATGTATTCCCTTGTTTCGGTAATAACCGCCCCATCCGTCACTTTGGGTCGTACTGCTTGATAATTCCCTATATGTATTTCCTAGGCGTCCTAGCTGGTTCCTATAGGCTTGGGTTACTGATTCACTATGCTATTTTACAGTTGTTTTTTTCCCTCGCTGATGGACCTTCACTGACCGCTAACGGAACTCATCTGTCTCGCTCTGCTTTGGGCCTCGACAGAGGCCCTGACAGCCGTAGCAGCTGGCAGTATAAGCAGATAGTATTGTTGGCAAAGAAGAGAGAGAATGGAATCGCCATTTCCGGCTTATTAGCTGTCGTCAGCCAGTCATACCCAGACTCAGATCAAAAAGATCGCAAGTTTGGGGCTCCGGTGACACACCATTTAGGCCTATGTATGACTAGCTGACAACGTCTAATAAGCCGGAAATGGCCATTCCACTCTCCCTTGTCTTTGTCAATATAGAAGGCGTTTTAATGGGCACAGATCTCATCTGCATTTTCAGTCTGACGTTCAAAAAATGCCAGAACGGTTTCATCTTGCTGATCGTTTCTTATTAGACTGAATTAGAAAGCAGTTGACAGGTAGGAGTCGTCATCTAGTCCGGAGACGACTGTGGCTGAAGTCCACAATCACAATTCTAAGATTGCTTTGCCGTATTTACAAATAGGATCTTGTGTACAGTTTCATAATTATGCACTTCAATTTACTACGCGAATGACCTAAACCGGACTGAAACGACTCGTGATGTGTAGGAGGGGGTGGGGGCTTTATGCCACTTCAACCATTTCACCTGACCCTATCTCCCGTCAATTTGGCTTGAAGTCGTTATTTTACTTGATTAGGAAGATTAAGGGGTAAAGGAGATTAAAGCTGACTTTACGGTGCCTTTTTCACTATAGGTTGTCTGAGGTGCGCTTTAAATATTTGGACAAGATGTGGGAGGTTGCTAACTGACACGATGATTCGGTACTGGGAACCGAGGCTTAAGCCGCAGTAGTCCCTTCATGTCATCTTTTGGCTATTCCCACCGATGTGAACTCTGAATTAAGCCTGGTTTGCGTTGAAGGAGGGACCAGCCCGTATAGGGCACGCGTAGACGTTCCCTCATTTTGATTCAATCACTGTCTCCACGCTTATCCAGTTTTCTTGACCTTGTCTTGTCAGCAGA